GTGGGTGGGGGGTGGGTGGGTAGGCAGGTAGGCAGGCAATCAGAGACATGGATGGATGGATGGATGATAGATAGATAGATAGATAGATAGATAGATAGATAGATAGATAGATAGAGGTAGACAGTGAGACAGACAGAATCATGGATAGATGGATGGATGGATGGATGGATGATAGATAGATAGATAGATCGATAGATAGATTGATAGATAGATAGATAGATAGATAGATAGATAGATAGATAGATAGAGAGAGAGAGAGATAGGTAGACAGTCAGACAGACAGAGTCATGGATGGATGGATTTATTTATTTTATTTTATTTATTTGATTTGATTTGATTTATATGCTGCCCTATCTCCGTAGGACTCAGGGTGGCTCACAACAATAAATGGATGGATGGATAAATGGATGATAGATAGAAGATAGATAGATAGATAGATAGATAGATAGATAGATAGATAGAGGTAGACAGTCAGACAGACAGAATCATGGATGGATGGATAGATGGATGGATGGATGGATGGATGGATGGATGGATGATAGCTAGAAGATAGATAGATAGATAGATAGATAGATAGATAGATAGATAGATAGATAGATATAGATAGAGAGAGAGAGAGAGAGAGAGAGAGGGAGGGAGGTGGACGGTCAGACAGAGTCATGGATGGATGGATTTATTTATTTTATTTTATTTATTTTATTTTATTTATATGCTGCCCTATCTCCATAGGACTCAGGGCGGTTCACAACAATAAATGGATGGATGGATGAATAGATGATAGATAGATAGATAGATAGATAGATAGATAGATAGATAGATAGATAGAGGTAGACAGTCAGACAGAATCATGGATGGATAGATGGATGGATGGATGATAGATAGAAGATAGATAGACAGACAGACAGACAGACAGACAGACAGATAGATAGAAAGATAGATAGATAAGACGGATGGATGGACAGACGGATAGACAGACAGAGTTGGATGGATGGATGAAGAGAGAAGTGAATGAATGGATAGATGGATAGATAGACAGACGGACAGATAGATGGGTGGGTAGATGGACAATAGATGTATAGGTAGATGTAGAAATGGAGGGAGGAGGTAGAGAGAGAGAGATGACAGATATATATGGATGGATGGGTGGATGGATAGATGAATAGATAGAAGGATAGAGAGAAAAGGACATAAACAGACAGACAGAGAGACATATATGGATGGACTAGAAGACCTCCAAGGTCTCTTCCAGCTTTGTTCTGATTGATTGAAATCCGGGGTGTACGACAAGGGTGTCAAACTCGCGTCGTCACGGCATCATCACGTGACTTATCGTGATTCCCCCTCTCCCTTTGTTAAACCAGGCGTGGGCATGGCCAGGGCGTGATGCATCCAGCCCGTGGGCCGCGAGTTTGACAGCCCTGATGGAAGAGGTCGTGTTTGAGACCAAGGAAGGGAATCAGAAGCTTTGCAGATCAGGTTTTGTCCCCTGCTCTCCAGCAATGCCACCGCGCTTTTCATTCCTTAACAAGAGGCAATTGCCACAGCTTCAATCCAGCCTTCGTTAGCATATAAAAAGGTTTGAGGCTGCCTTAAGAAGTTCATTATAGATAATTGAAGAGGCCGGGGCTGGAAAAGGCAAACAGGCACTTCACGATGTGTGTCTCCCTTTGATCGACTCCCGTGTACTTCCTAATTGAAACGTTAAAAAGCAATTTATTTTTTGGGGGGAAGAGAAGAGAAGAGATGAACGTGGGGTTGTGGGGCCTGGCCTTCTGCACCCCTGACTCTAGAAACCTGAAATGTCCGTTGCACGAGACAGAAGGTCATACAGGTAGTCCTTGACTTACAACCATTCGTTTAGTGACCGTTCAAAGTTCCAACGGCCCGGAAAAAAGTGACTGATGACTGTTTTTCAAACTTACGACCCTTGCAGCATTCCCCACAGTCACATGATCAAAATTGGGACATTTGGCAACTGGCATCTATTTGGGATAGTTGTAATGTCGCCAGCCAGCATGCTTTAAAATGGGTGGACTTCAACTCCCAGAATTCCCTGTCCAGCATGCTTTAAAATGGGTGGACTTCAACTCCCAGAATTCCCCAGCCAAGCATGCTTTAAGACGGGTGGACTTCAACTCCCAGAATTCCCTGTCCAGCATGATTTAAGAGGCGTGGACTTCAACTCCCATAATTCCCCAGCTAGCATGCTTTAAAATGGGTGGACTTCAACTCCCAGAATTCCCCAGCCAAGCATGCTTTAAGACGGGTGGACTTCAACTCCCATAATTCCCTGTCCAGCATGATTTAAGAGGCGTGGACTTCAACTCCCATAATTCCCCAGCCAAGCATGCTTTAAGATGGGTGGACTTCCACTCCCAGAATTCCTGGAGATTATTTGATTATCATGTAGTTTTAAATATTATAAATATTTAAATTATTATAAATATTTATTATAAATATTATAATATGAATATTATAAATATTCATTAATAAACTGTATTTGATCAAGCATTAATTATTGGCTTATTTTGGGGGAGCTGTTTGAACATATAGCTTGTTTAATAATGTTTAATGCCTAGTCCCAGCAGAACTGCCTTCTGGGACGGTTCAGTTCATGCATTTTTTAAGACTTGCCAGTAGAGCTAGTAAATGTTGAGCAGCTTTGAATCAAAACGTAATCGGATGACTTTTTCCCCCCAGAATTCTTTGTCATATTGCTGTTTCATACAGAACAATTTCTACCCCACCCTCCCTTTTACATCCTTGAACACAGATCCAGCGATCTAACATTTATTTAGGTATTAAATTAACTTTAATAGCCATCCGGAAAGAAACATCAGGCACGAAACAATTCGTTGCACTTTGCAATTGATACGCTTTAGGAAATATATAAACCCAACAGTGGGATTCATTATAAAGATTATTGGATGATTTCTCCCAATTTGTTCAAAAACTTTCAGACCAAAGGATGGCTAATTGAGCATGGCTGATAAAAAAAAAGGGTAAAATTTGCACATTTTGCTTGTAATCCCTTCAGATAGCTTAGCTGGGTCCTAATGAAGATGAGACAATATGGGACCATTCGGAATAGGATGATATAATATGATTTTGTACTGATGACGTGGGTAGAAAGCTGTTCCCTCCTGAATTTTTTTTTAAAAAGTATAATATTGGGATTGTATTGCTCTTTCTGCCTTCCGATGCCAAATAGCATCAAATCTGTACGTAAAAACCATAGATAGTTTTCACAGAGAGTGGTGAGCTGGTCTAATGGTGAAGGAACCAGATTAAAAACTGGGAGATGGTGAGTTCTAGTCCTGCCTTAGGTATAAAAGCAGCCTGGGTGGCTTTGGGCCAATCACCAGGAGAATGAATTCTAGTCCCGCCTTAGGCATGAAAGCCATCTGGGCGACTTTGGGCCAATGGCCAGGAGACAGTGAGTTCTAGTTCCACCTTAGGAAAGAAAGCTAGCTGGGTTACTTTGGGCTAATCACCAGGAGACGGTGGGTTCTAGTCCAATTTTAGGCAAGAAAGCTAGGTGAGTGACTTTGGACCAATCACCAGGAGGCTGTGAGTTCTAGTCACGCTTTAGCACGAAACCTGGCTGGGTGACTTTGGGCCAATCACCAGGAGGTTGTGAGTTCTAGTCCCACCTTAGACATGAAAGTTGGCTGGGTGACTTTGGGCCAATCACCAGGAGGCTGTGAGTTCTAGTCCCGCCTTAGGCACGAAAGCTGGCTGGGTGACTTTGGGCCAATCACCAGGAGATTGTGAGTTCCAGTTCTGCCTTCGGCAGGAATGCCAACTGGGTGACTTTGGGGCAGTCCCTCTTTCTCAACCAAAACCCCCTCTTGTAGTAGAAAAAAATAAGTGGAGGTAGGTAGGAGTACTCGATATGCTTTTTTGCCCTAAAGCTGCAGATAAAAATAATAAAGGTGGGATTTAAATAAATAAAATAAGAAAATTCCTCAGCCGATCTCCGAGACCTTTAAATCGATCTCAAGTCAGTCTTTGTGTGTGGACAACACTCTCTTGACCTCAGCCTGTGTATGGGGAGGTGGGAGCAGCTTATCTTGGAAAAGGAAAGCCCACAAGCATCAGGTAGTCTTCCTAATACACTCATATCCAGGGATGGGATTCAGCCAGTTCGGGCGAACCAAATGCTAATTTTACTCTGGTTTGCCGAACCAGTAGTTGCAAGGACTGGCTGGCTCCACCCACCCCGCCCCTCCCAGGAGTCTCCACGCGGCCCATTTTGGATGTGAGGTAAGTACAGGGCCTGCACTGAGGCTCTGGGATGGTGAAAAATGGGCCTTCTCGGAAGTCTGGAAATGGGCCTGTTTCCAGCCTCCAGAGGGCCTCTGGAGCCCCAGGGAAGGTCGTTTTCGCCCTCCCAGAGGCTTGGGGAAAGCCTCCGGAGCCTGGGGAGGGCAAAAAAACCCAGGCCTACCGGAAATACTGGATAGCTCAACAGACAGAGCACTGTAATTTAACACCAGCTGCCTGCAATTACTGCGAGTTCAAATCTCGCCAGGCTCAAGGTTGACTCAGCCTTCCATCCTTTCTAAGGTAGGTAAATTGAGGAGCCAGTTTGTGGGGGCAATAAGCTGACTTTGTATAAATATACAAAAGAAAGAAGGCTATTGCTTAACGCATTGTAAGCCGCCCTGAGTCTCCGGAGAAGGGCGGCATATAAATCAAATTTAAAAAAAAATAATACTGGAAGTCTGGAAACGTGCCCGTTTCCAGCCTCTGGAGGGCTTCTGGAGCCTGGGGAGGGCAAAAAGCCCCCCCCCCGTGGTGCAGGAGGCCGAGTAGGCCACGCCCACCATGGCCACACCCACCCAGCAACCGGGCAGAGAACCAGTTGCTAAAATCTTCGAATCCCACCCCTGCTCAGGTCCCAAACCTGGGTTCAAGAAGATGCATGTGAAAACAGGAATACATGACGTTTTGGGTCCTAACTCCCCAGAATTGTGCTCCGTCTGCTTTGTGTGCAGGACTGTCCCCAGCTGCTGAGGGCCAGCAAGATCTTGGTCCCCGTGGATGTTATCAAGCCCATCACCTTGAAGGCCAAGAATTTACCCCAGCCGCAGTCCGGCCAACGGGGCTACGAGTGCATCATCACCATCCAAGGCGCGGAGAAGCGAGTGCCGGCCCTGAGGTTCAACAGCTCCAGTGTCCAATGCCAGAACACTTCCGTGAGTAAGCGCCGTCCACAAGGGAGGAGGGAGGAGCAGCTCTGGGGGAACGATCCAGGGGGCAGCTGGGACTGTGGGGTCAAAGCCCCATCCCCTTTTTTCCTAGGGAAAATATTTTATTTAGCAATAATACAAGGTATTATTGTAGGGATGATAGTTATATAATTTATATAATTATAAAAGTATCATTTATAGTTATATAATCCCTATATAATTATAGGGACACAGTGGCTCAGTGGCTAAGATGCTGAGCTTGTCGATCGAAAGGTCGGCAGTTCAGCGGTTCGAATCCCTGGTGCTGCATAATGGGGTGAGCTCCCGTGACTTGTCCCAGCTTCTGCCAACCTAGCAGTTCGAAAGCATGTTAAAAAAAATGCAAGTAGAAAAATAGGGACCACCTTTGGTGGGAAGGGAACAGTGTTCCGTGCGCCTTTGGTGTTGAGTCATGCCGGCCACATGACCACGGAGACGTCTTCGGACAGCACTGGCTCTTCGGCTTTGAAATGGAGATGAGCACCGCCCCCTAGAGTCAGGAATGACTAGCACATATGTGCGAGGGGAACCTTTACTTTTATCTTACAAGGTACACAGAAGAAGAAAAACATGATAGATACAGAAGTAGGTAGGTAGGTAGATAGAAAGATAGGTAGGTGGATGGATGGACAGAGACAGACAGACAGACAGACAGAAACAGATGATAGATAGACAGAAAGAAATAGGGGATGGATGGATAGATGGATGGATGGATGGATGGATGGATGGATGGATGGATGGATGGATAGATGGATGGATGGATAGATGGACGGACTGACAGGAAGAGATGATAGATAAACAGACAGAAGAAAGAAATAGGAGATAGATAGACAGAAAGAGACAGAAAGAAAGAAATAGATGATAGATAAACAGATAGACAGAAACAAATACGAGATATAGATAGATAGATAGATAGATAGATAGATAGATAGATAGATAGATAGACAGACAGACAGACAAACAGAAAAAGAAAGAAAGAAAGAAAGAAAGAAAGAAGAAAGAAGAAAGAAAGGGAAAGAGAAGAAGGGAGACAGAATGAGAGGGAGGGAGGCAGAGGGGGAAGGGAAAGGGAGAGAGAGAGAGAGAGAAAGAGAAAGAGAGGGAGATAGATAGATAGATAGATAGATAGACAAACAGAAAAAGAAAGAAAGAAAGAAAGAAAGAAAGAAGAAAAGAAATGATAGAAAGAAGTAGGTGATTAGATAGATAGATAGATGAAGGAAGGAAGGAAGGAAGAAAAGAAAGAGATGATAGACAGTCTATCTGTCTATGGTTGGCAACTGACTCATATTTATGACGGTTGCAGTGTCCCAGGGTCACGCAATCCCTTTTTGCGACCTTCTGAAAAACAAAATCAATGGGGAAGCCAGACTCACATAACAACCGTACGATTAGCTGAACAACTGCTGTGATTCGCTTTAACAACCGTGACAAGAAAGGGGGCAAAACTCCCTTCACGACTGTCTCGTAGAGCAACAGAAATTTGGGGCTCAATTGGGGCCGTAAGTCGAGGACCACCTGTTTTGCGGTTGCTGTTTTTGCCCTTTCAGAGGTTGTCTCTTTTTGTTGTTGTTGTTGTTGTCGTCGTCAGAAAGTGAGGCTGCCTTCCAGAGAGAGGAAGGCAGGAGTCGTCTATTTTCTTCTTAAAACATTATCCGCACGTATTATGTCTGCCATTCTGTGCTTCCCCCGGTGTAAAATCCTGTCCAAGAATTACGAGGCCAGATACGGGCATGTGTGTACCAGCGACTTTGATCTATTTTGAGAGAACGGTGCATTGTTGAAGACAAATGGACTGTTGTAAATCAATTCCTGGAGGGGCGAGCCCGATCGGCTCCTTTCCCTCTCCCTTTCCGCTCGGTAACCAACATCCTCCTCACATTGTTTTCTGCAAATGCCGTCTCCAAATACAGGGAGTCCTCTACTTACGACCGCAATTGAGCCCAGAATCTCATGTTCAGTGTTGGAACTAGAACTCACTGTCTCCTGGTGATTGGCCCAAAGTCATAAGGTGGGACTAGAGCTCACTGTCTCCTGATGATTGGCCCAAAGTGACAAGGCAGGAGTAAAACTCACTGTCTCCTGGTGATTGGCCCAAAGTCACCCAGTCGGCTTTCATGCCTAAGGCAGGACTAGAACTCACCGTCTCCTGGTGATTGGCCCAAAGTCACCCAGTCGGCTTTCATACTTAAGGCGGGACTAGAACCCACCGTCTCCTGGTGATTGGCCCAAAGTCACCCAGTCGGCTTTCATACTTAAGGTGGGACTAGAACTCACCGTCTCCTGGTGATTGGCCCAAAGTCACCCAGCTGACTTTCATACTTAAGGCGGGACTAGAACTCACCGTCTCCTGGTGATTGGCCCAAAGTCACAAGTCACTTATGATCATTGCAGCCTCCCCATGATCACGTGCTTTACCTTCAGATACTTGGCCGATGGTTCATATTTATGACGGTCGCAGTGAACATGGGGTGTGTGTGTGTGTCACGTGATTCCCTTTGGTGACCTTCTGACAAACAAAGTCAACGGGGAAGACAAATTCATTCAACAACCAGGTTACTAAGTCAAGAGATGCAAGGTTGGGGTTCGCTTAACAAAGTTGGGGAGGCAAGTCGTAAAATGGGGCAAAACCCATTTAACCAATTTCTCACTTAGCAACATAAATTCCGGGCTCCGTTGTGGTCGTAAGTGGAGGACTACCTGTCCTTGGACTAAGGGGGAGTTTGGCCGTTTCAGAGACGTTCTTCCCTAATCTAATGGAAGAATCTGCTTGAGCGTGTTTGAGGAACCTCTACGCATCTCCCTCTTCATGCATGCTTCTACTTCCTTGCCGGTGTTCCTACATCCCTGCAGCTGGCTGAGCGTTGTTGCCTTGCAGACAGATGTTGTCCTTTTAATTAACAGCCTCGGTGGCCCTAAAAACCCCCACGGAGGGCCGTGAAGGATTCATAGCCTTCGGCTCGGCTCAGAGTAGCGATGCGGTCAAGAGGAACTAATGTCAAATGAAGCCAGGAGATGTATGGGTTCAGAGGGGGTTACCCAACCCCTTTCTGTCCCTCTCACATCATATTTCTGCCTTGGGTTAATTACTCATCATTCGAGCTTGCAAGATTTTATGCCCGAGTGTCACCCTCGCCCACCCCAATGGCTATCTTTCAGACCGCGTCTTCTAAGCCCAGGATTATACAGACAAGAAGAAAATGGATTGGGTGGAAGGCTAGCTCTGGCTGGCAGGAATTGGTTTTGATTTAAAAAAAAATATTATTATCTTTCAACCAGATCGTATGTATCTCCCATGGCTTCTTCAAAACAGGAGCCTTGGTAGTACAGTGGTTTAATGCACCCTGTTATTAACACAGCTGCCTGCAATTTCTGCAGGTTCGAATCTCTCCAAGGCTCAAGGTTGACTCAGCCTTCCATCCTTTCTAAGGTAGGTGAAATGAGGACCCAGTTTGTGGGGGCAATAAGCTGACTTTGTATAAATATACAAAAGGATGAAGGCTATTGCTTAGTGCATTGTAAGCCGCCCTGAGTCTCCGGAGAAGGGCGGCATATAAATCAAATAAAAAAAAAAAAATGGGATTTTAAGTCGAGTCCTCTGTAGGGTAGAGACTCCCAAGGAAACAAAACTTCTCCTGAAAAGGCAATGGAGATTCTCACTCATCCAAGTCATGTTTGTCCCAAAGATGTTTCTTCAAGAGGCAATTAACTGGACTTTCTGGTTTTTTTTTTCTTTGAAGACGTTTCGCTTCTCATCCAAGAAGCTTCTTCAGCTCTGACTGGATAGTGGAGAATGGAAGGATTTATATGCCTTGCAGACAGCAGGTCATTTGCATCCTTTTTAGAGAGCCGTTGAGGCCACTTGGAGGTTTGTCTGTGTCTTCAGGGTCACCTGAGTGGTGCAAATGGGTGTGGAAGCTTCTTGGAACTGCAGAAAGGACTCCCTCCATTCCTCATTTCTCTCTTTCTCCTTCCTTCCTTCCTTCCTTCCTTCCTTCCTTCCTTCCTTCCTTCCTTCCTTCCTCCCATCTATTTCTCTCTCCCTCCCTCCATTCCTCATTTCTCTCTTTCTCCTTCCTTCCTTCCTTCCTTCCTTCCTTCCTTCCTTCCTTCCTTCCTTCCTCATCTATTTCTCTCTCCCTCCCTCCATTCCTCATTTCTCTCTTTCTCCTTCCTTCCTTCCTTCCTTCCTTCCTTCCTTCCTTCCTTCCTCCTTCCCTTCCTTCCTTCCTTCCTATCTCATTTATTTCTCTGTCCCTCCATCCCACCTTCATTCCTCATTTTTCCTCTTTCCTCCAACCTTCCCTCACCTACCTACCTTCCTTCCCTTCCTTCCTTTCTAACTCATCTATTTTCTTCCTCCCTCCCTCCATTCCTTCATTCTCTTTCTCCTCCTTCCTTCCTTCCTTCCTTCCTTCCTTCCTTCCTTCCTTCCTTCCTTCCTTCCTTCCTTCCTTCCTCATCTATTTCTCTCTCCCTCCCTCCCATTTTCCTCATTTCTCCTCTCTTTCTCCTTCCTTCCTTCCTTCCTTCCTTCCTTCCTTCCTTCCTTCCTTCCTCCTTCCTTCCTTCCTTCCTTCTCCAATTTTCACAGCCTACGCTGGTTCTCTATCTATTTGCACTGGGGAAGGAAAGGAAAGGAGATTGGGGAACTCAGAAAACCGCCCTCTGAATGATAAAATCCTTCCTTCCTGTCCTTTTCCCAACCCCCAAATCACGGAGGAGAGATGCAGGGGTGCCATCTTGGCAGTCCATGTCTAAAGTGCTTTTAGAAAAGTATATTTCATGCCTTTTCCCCTGAGAGATTTGATTTACAAGAAATACAGATGCACCTTGAGCATAACAGTAGTCACTGGTAACCCTGGCAAATAATTACAAATAAATTTGCATTTTAATCGAATGAGCGTTTACTGCTTGTTAATTTAAATGTTCATTTCAGAGTACAGGAAGTCCTCGACTTACGACTACAATTGAGCCCGAAATTTCTGTTGCTAAATGTTGTTAAGTGAGTTTTGCCCCATTTTACAAACTTTCTTGCCACCGTTGTTAAGTGAATCACTGCGGTAGTTAAGTTAGTCACACGGTTGTTAAGTGAATCTGGCTTCCCCCTTGACTTTGCTTGTCAGAAGGTCGCAAAAAGGGATCATGTGACCCCAGGACAATTGCAACCATCCTAAATATGAACCGGTTGCAAAGCACTTTGTTGAGGAATTCGCAGAGCAAACCCTAGAGTAGCAAGGGTGTGCACATGAGAGCAGTTGCGAATAATCACAGCCAACACACAGATACACTGAGTTGTGTTTACTTTTAGGAAATAGTAATAAGGCACAGTCCAATAAACAGTCCAGGTCATACACAGATAAAGCAGTAGATAGTAAAACAATAGTCCAGGATATTCCAATAACAAAGTCTTCTTACCAGTCGTCGTAGTCATACATCATAAACAGTTGCAAACAGTAGCAAACACAGCAAATAGCAGTAACGAGCTGTAAAGTTCAGCAAAGATCAGCAGAGAGATCAGCAGAGAAACTAACTATGTTTCAAGCTCCCTCTTAAGGACATTGGCTACAGAGCTAACCAATCAGGACACAGTATGATGCAATACAGCAATACAGTCTGAAAGCTATATTGAGGTTTTATATATTGCCAACCCAACAAGTTAGGTAATTATCATTTCCTAACACACCTGATTCATTGTCATGTGACCACCAGGATGCCACAACAGTTGTAAGTGTGATAAACAAGTCGTAAGTCACTGTTTGGAGTGTTGTTGTAACTTCAAATGGTAATTAAAGGAAAGGTTGTAAGTCAAGAACTACGTGTACAATGCAATGCAATGCAATATAATACAACATTTTTTTTATTTTTTTATTTTTTTTGATTTGATTGATATGCCGCCCTTCTCCGGAGACTCAGGGCGGCTTACAGTGCGTTAAGCAATAGCCTTCATACTTTTATATATATTTTATACAAAGTCAGCTTATTGCCCCCACAAACTGGGTCCTCAATTTACCTACCTTAGAAAGGATGGAAGGCTGAGTCAACCTCGAGCCTGGGGAGATTCGATCTTACTTTAATTGCAGACAGCTGGTGTTAAATTACAGTGCTTCTGTCTGTTGAGCTAAACCAGGCTCCAACATTCACAGTATTTATGTATTTTATATTACCCTGTTTCCCCGAAAATAAGACATTCCCTGATAATAAGCCCAATCGGGCTTTCGAGCACATGCGCTAAAATAAGCCTCCCTCTCCCGAAAATAAGCCCTCCCCGAAAATATCAGGAAATCAGGTAAGACGGCAAGAGGAGCCCCGTCTTGCGTCCCAAAATAATAAGACCTCCCTGAAAATAAGCCCAAGCCCTATTTCGGGGTTCAAAAAAAAATATAAGACAGGGTCTTATTTTCGGGACAACACGGTAGAAAGGACAATTCTTAAAACAAAGAAAGAAAGGGAACAGCACGGAACACTGTTCCCTTCCCACCAAAGGGGGTCCCTATTTTTCTACTTGCATTTTTTTAACATGCTTTCGAACTGCTAGGTTGGCAGAAGCTGGGACAAGTCACGGGAGCTCATCCCATTCTGCAGCACTAGGGATTCGAACCGCTGAACCGCCGACCTTTTGATCGACAAGCTCAGCATCTTAGCCACTGAGCTACCACATCCCACTCACCTCCTTTTAACAACGCCATAATCCCTTGCGGAGTGGAGTCTGGGCAACTGAATAAATAAAATAAATAAATAAATAAATAAATAATTTTATTTCTATACCGCCCTTCTCCCGAAGGACTCCGGGCGGTGTACAGCCTATTAAAAAACACAAAGACAAACATCAGTTAAAAATAATTAAAATTATTACATAATTCGGCTGAAATTTAAAACCCCAAAAATTTAAAACCCAATTTAAAAATCATTAAATTGATAGCCTGGCTTGGCGGAATAGAGCTAGCAGAGTGTTTTACTGGCCGGATGCCCTTCCTGTCCCCAATGCGGAGTTTTGTTCAGCAGAGAAAATTCTCATTTTGCGCAGAAAGAGAAATATCTGCCTCTACCTAGGATCGAACCCACAGCCTCCTGATTTTGAGGCGAGAGCTCCACCTCTAGGCCACTGCACCACTCCTGGTCAACAATGCCCATTAAAAATGCTATTTTTCCAACGGTTTTGTCGTTGGAGTTGTCGTTGTTTTTTTTAAAAAACCCTCAAAATCCAAAAAAGATAGTCCCATTGCAACTGTTGTTGTTTTTTTTAAAAAAACTCAGTTTGCATACAGTGACAACCCGAGAGTCGGCTCAACAGGCGTCTGATGTCTGTTTTGTTCCCTTCCCTGTTTAGTATTCCTATGACGGGATGGAGATCAACAGCCTGCCGGTGGATCTGACGGTGGTGTGGAATGGGAATTTCAACATTGACAACCCTGCCCAGAATAAAGGTAACTTGTCGTTTCAACTTGTCCTTGGAAGCGGTAACCTTAGCAACAAGCCGCTTTTGTTCCCTAAACCTAGCCAAACGGTGCCTGCTTCCTTTTGTCATCGATCAAAGCAGGATGTTTTCCTGGCTAATTTTTTTTTTGCTCTGCTTTTTAATTAATGTATTTACTCGGAGTGCAGGGACACCACTCCTGACCCGGACGGCTCCTTTCTGCCTGTAAAACGACTCCGTTCTCCTCCTCCTCAATCCCAAAACACAGGAGGGGGCTTCAAAAATTTTAGCAAGGGGTCCTCTGCTCGGTTGCTGGGTGGGCGTGGCCAGGGTGGGCGTGGCTAGTTGGACTTCTGCACCACGGCGGGGGAGGAGCGTTTTTGCCCTCCCCGGGCTCCGGAGGGTTTTCTCGAACCTCTGGGAGGGCAAAAATGGCCTCCCCAGGCTCCGGAGGCCCTCTGGAGGCTGGAAACAGGCCCATTTCTGGCCTTCCCAAACTTCCGGTAGGCCTGTTTTTTGCCCTCCCCGAGCCTCCATGCGCGCCCTGCACTTACCTGCATCCAAAACAGGCCGCATGGGGACTCCTGGGAGGGGTGGAGTGGGTGGGGCCAGCCAGGAGTGGGATTTGGGGGTTCTCCGAACTGCACAGAATCTTAGCTAGAGGTTCTCCCGAACCCCAGCGAACCCCCAGCAGCCCCACCCCTACCAAAACACTTTTCCTACTTTTGAAGCTTAATTTCAATAGAAGAGATTATCTGGGGGGTTCTTGGTGGTCTCTGAGCTTGCAGACGTTTCATGACCCAACTAGGGAACAACATCAGTTAGAAAGGAGTGGGGTTTGCTCTCTGTTTATGTACTGGTGGCTTGCCTTATCGGTGTTGGTTGAGGACAACAATAGCCTAATCAAGAAACCACCAAGAAAATTCCCACCAACACTGACAGGGCTAGTATATAAACAAAAAGCAAATATCACTCCTTCTGGCACTGATGATGTTAGCTAATTGGGTCATGAAATGTCTGCAAGAAGACAATCAAGCTATGATAGCACCAAGGACCCCACTGTTGAACTCGGAGCTACAAGTATTCTCTTCCTAGAGTATCTCTGCAGCTCAGGGTTGAACTGTAAAGCCCTTGGTCCTCCCTAATTTCTCAAATTCATTGTGACTGCATTCTCACAACTTGGCCAACCTGGTCTGTCTGACGGGTGGCCTGCCTCCCTCCTTCCCATTTTCTTTCTTTCTTTCTTTCTTTCTTTCTTTCTTTCTTTCTTTCTTTCTTTCGTTCTTTCTTTCTTTCTTCCTTCCTTCCTTCCTTCCTTCTTTCCTCCCCTTTTCTTCTTCCTTCCTTCCTTCCCTTTTCTTCTTCCTTCCTTCCCTTTTCTCCTTCCTTCCTTCCCCCTTTCTTTCCTTCTTTCCTTCCTTCCTTCTTTCCTCCCCTTTTCTTCTTCCTTCCTTCTTTCTTTCTCTCTCTTTCTCTCTCTCTCTTTCTTTCTTTCCTTCCTTCCTTCCCCCTCTCTCTCTTTCTTTCTTTCCTTCCTTCCTTCCCTTTTCTCCTTCCTTCCTTCCCCCTCTCTTTCTTTCTTTCTTTCCTTCCTTCCTTCCTTCCTTCCTTCCCTTTTCTCATTCCTTCCTTCTTTCTTTCTTTCTTTTCTTCCTTCCTTCCTTCCCTTTTCTCCTTCCTTCCTTCTCCTTCCTTCCTTCCTTCCTTCCTTCCTTCCTTCCTTCCTTCCTTCCTTCCTTCCTTCCTTCTTTCTTTCTTTCTTTCTTTCTTTCTTTCTTTCTTTCTTTCTGCTTTGCTTTGCTTTGCTTTGCTTTGCTTTGCTTTGTACATTGGGTGAGCCCATTTTAGTTACCAATTCAGAAATAGTTAATGGTTGAACCCCAGATGAAGTGAAGGCATTTCATGCATCAGGCAAAACGCCTTGCTTGTTCTCCCTTTGGTGGGAAGACTTTGTTTCTTTGTGGGGGTGTGGTGTGGGGGTGGGTGGGTGTGTGGAATCTCTGATTTGGTTTTTTTGCCTTTGCATGTTGGGTGGATCTGTTTTGTTTAGTTTCTAACCCAGAAATCAGGTTAATGGTTGTGTGGACCTGGATGAAGTGAATGTGGGAAAGAGCAAAGCTGGATTGACTTGTACCCTGGGAAGGAGGTAAGAGTGATATGTCTGTATGTGTGACATAGAGAGAGAAAGAGAAGGAAGGAAGGAAGTAAAGAAAGAAAGAGAAAAGAAAGGAGGGAGAGAAAGTGAGAAAGAAAGAAAGAAAAGAAAGAAAGAAAGAGAAAGGAAGGAAGGAAGGAAGGAAGGAAGGAAGGAAGGAAGGAAGGAAGGAAGGAAGGAAGGAGGGAAAGTTAGAGTGGAAGAAAGAAAAAAAAGAAAGGAGGGAGAGAGAGAAAAGGTGAGAAAGAAAGAAAGGAAAAGAGAAAGAAAGAAAGAGGAAGGAAGGAGAGAAAGTTATATTGGAATAAAGAAAGAAAGAGAGAGAGAGAGAGACAGAAAGAAAGACAGACAGACAGAAAGGGAGAAAGAGAGAGAGAAAGAAAGGAAAGAAAGAAAGAAAGAAAGAAAGAAAGAAAGAAAGAAAGAAAGAAAGAAAAAGAGAGGAAGGCAGGCAGGCAGGCAGGAAGGAAGGAAGGAAGGAAGGAAAGAAGGAGAGAAAGTTAGAGTGGAAGAAAGAAAGAAAAAAGAAAGGAGGGAGAGAGAGAGAGAAAAAAAGTGAGAAAGAAAGAAAGGAAAAGAGAAAGAAAGAGGAAGGAAGGAGAGAAAGTTATATTGGAAGAAAGAAAGAAAGAGAGAGAAAGAAAGACAGAAAGAAAGAAAGAGAGAGAGAAAGAGAAAGAGAAATAGAGTGAAAGAAGGAGAGAGAGAGAGAGGAATTGGATGGAGATGGCGTTACCATCACCAATTGCTTCCAAGCAGCTCCGAAGATCAAAGGCCGGGCATTAAGGATTTGCTCAGAGGGGAAGGAGGAGGCCCAGGGGTGTCCCCTCACTCTCCCTGGCACTCCTGGAAGCTGCCTGCATCCCTGAACCGCCTCTCTCTCTCCCTCTCTCTCTCCCTCTCTCTCTCTCTCTCTCTCTCTCTCTCTCTCTCAATATTTGTGATGTGTGTATGTGGCATTAAGCATCCCAGAGAGTCCGTCACAGCTTTGAACTTTCCAGCTGGTTTTCGGGTCCTCCTCATTGATCCTAGGATTTAGGCTGGGGGTCAACAGAACCCCTTTTACTCGTCGTCATTGCCATTTGCAATGGGAACCTGCACTGAGGCGGAGGGTATTTTTTTTTTTTTTATGCCTTTATAAACCTCATTTGGGCCTCCCAGCTGCATCCGAAGGCCTCTCTCCGCGTTTCATCTCTTCAGAAATCTGCCATTTCGGATCTCTTTTTCCCTTCCCTGTGAAAAGAGGCCGGCGTTTTTCTGCCTCATTCCCGTTTCTTTTAATGGGGTTAGGGAGCCTGATTTGTACTGTCAGGGCTGTTAGAGCGAAGCACTGACGTTGGGGCTCTGTTGTGTGATGCATGGTGACTTTACTGTGAAGCTGCTCTATCTATCTCCCTTTCTCTCTCTCTCTATTTCTCTCTCTCTCTCTCTTTCTCTCTCTCCATTTCTCTCTCTTTCTCTTTCTCTTTCTCTTTCTCTCTCTCTTTCTCTTTCTCTCTCTCATGTATCTATTTCTAGCTAACTCTGTCTCTGTCCCAGTCTCTGTCTCTGTCTCCCCCT